AAAAGAAAAATTTGTGGGTCTGAACACTAGGTACTGGGGGTATTTACAATTTTTTTTTCCCAAAAGGGGTACTTTATTAAAAAGAAAAAAGGTTGAGAAACACTGATCTATACTGTCACAGCAATGTGGTCACAGCAGCAGGCAATCAATACACTCCTGAATGAACTCACGCAAAAACTCCCTGTTGCCCACTGGTGAAATGATTTATAAATCACTCCATATCTGACTCTCAATTTTCATCCAAAAAATAACCCTACACAACTCCTTCAAAAAATGTGTCTTGGAGCTTAAATTCATAATTTCGAAAAATAGCGGTCTTAATGAAAGCACTGGATTTATGGTTTATTACAGTAATCTGGGATGCATTAGCCCCCTTTAATTTATAAGACTGCAGAAGTGTTTATAGGCCACTTTACCTTGAAAGGTCTCTTAGCATGTAGTCTAACTACTTATGCTAAACAACCTGTTCCATTTTTCAAACAAACGAGGAGTCCTAGCACCTTAAAGACTAATACAGGACTCCTCGTTTTTGCTGAAATGGACTAACACGGCTAACTCTCTGAAACCTGTTCCATCTTGTATTTAGCTATGATACTCCTGAATACTTTTCCCAGACCTGAAATAGAGTTCTGTGTAGCTTGAAAGCTTGTCTCCATAAAAACAGAAATTGGTCCAATAGAAGATATTACCCCAGTCACCTTGTGTCTCATATATACTCTTACGGTTTTCACAAGGGTTGGCACAAACATACTGTAAGCAATACTTTTTGTGTGCAAATAACTACTCAATCTATTTGATAGTAATTGCAGCTGTGTTCAAATAACCAGTGATAGAGATTCATCTTTTTAACCCATTCATATTCCGTTCATTTTCTGAAAGTGTTGCAGAGTCTATTTTTGATTGTTGCCTTGTAAAAGAAGAAATCCTCCGCATGTGTTAAGTACATGCTCTAGTTAGAGCATGAATAGGTTTTGTGGTATGCTGGGGAATGATGAGACCACACTGTACTGTGTTTCAATGGAAACACTTTGAGTACTGAAGAGATTCCTATAAATTATAGTTGCTGTGTTCCTCCCCCTTGTACTACAAAGCGCAGTCTTCCTAGCAGACCAGAGATTGTCCCTCAAAGCACTTGAGGAATCAGATAGGACAGGGATACGGCCCATTCTAGTGTGCTTGGATTGTCTTTGGATCAGAGTCTCAGTACTGCATCTGTTGGGGAGGGATGTGTGTTTATTTGCCACAGTGTTTTTGGGTTTTTTGGGGGAGGGAGGTGTATATTGTTTTTCTTGGTTTGAGAAGAATGATGAGAATTAAGCAAAAAATGCATCTGTTTTTATTTTTTTCTTATCTTGGTTATACTTGACGTGCAGCTGGAATATTTCCTTTTATTTCATTGGAGAGATTTTGTACTTTCAATGCTTTAACTGAGGCTAGGCACTACAGCTTATGTCCGTATAACTTATGCCACTCAGGGGTGTGAATAAGCTTTCCCCCGAACAACAAAAATTATACCAGTCTAAGCACTGATGTGGACAGTGTTACATTGGCAGTAGAGCTTCTCCCAACAACAGCTACTACTGTCCTCCATGCCTGGAGTAGTTAAGTCAACTTAAGAAAGCTCTCCCTTCAGTTTAGACCATCTGCGTTAGCAGCATACCTAAGATCAGAAGCTAGGCAGGGTCTTTTGTTTTGGCCTGCAGTCTCAGGTACTTATGGAATGTAATCATAATCTAAAATGAGGTGGTGTACCCTGTCTTAGTGATTCGAGAGCTTCATGTGCTCAGATAAGTCATATCGTGACTTACTGAAATAACTACCAGCTCCAGCTGGGATTTGAAGATTAAGCTGTTCTTTTGTCTCTTATATCAGCAGAAATAAAGATCTCACAATTGGAACTTTTCTAACAGCTGTGTCCACGAAATCTGAGGCAGGAATAGAATCTAGTGCTCTCTTTTCTGTAGATATTTTTGGCTCTGTGGTATTACCAAGAGTGATATTAGAAAAAATGGTTTTTTTCAATAGAGTAAGCAGATGTGATCTGAAGATGTATGTGTGAAATTGGTCAGTTACATTGGTGAAACCTCATGGGTGAGTTTATTCCAGTTATACCAGTGTAATGGAGAACAGATACTTTCCTTTTAAACAAAAATGCAATCTTTCTGATTATTTTTTAAACATAAATAAGCAAATCTCAGGAAAATTTTCATCAGTTTGATTTCTGATGATTTCAGTGTATGTTTTCACTGATGATGTGTTTTATCATTTAAAAAAAATGGTCAGTCCTAGATTTCCCCTTCATTTTAAGGAAATCACTCTTGCGATGACACTACTGTGTTGCAACATTTGGGTTTCTACAGCCAACTGAAAAAATGTGTGCCTTTCCCTCATGCCTATCTTTCAGCTTCTGCAGCGTATACAAAATGTTTGAACCAATTTTGAGTTCAGTTTGCAGGAATAACTTCATTACTTCTTAGGATTTAAAGCTTGTGTGTGTAATGCATCTCTGGCTCATTAACACATTGTTTTTGTCAAAAATCTCTTGAGTGGCATGGAACAAATCATAATGAGGGACCCAGTAGATTGGGTCGGAGAGTGGGAGGGGCGGCAATGGAAGGTGGAGCAGATAAGTATATGTGCAGAAGAAGGAAATACTTCCGTGTGTGCTGATGGTGTTAGAGTTAATCCATCATAGATCCATCTGTTGCCTTGGGTTTGTGACTAAAACCATTGCATCTTACCCCTCCCCCCAACCTTTTGAACACTTCCTAAAAATAGAGGCCAAAAAAGTAACATTCGTGCATGAGCTCTACTCTGCTTAGGGAACTAGTGCTGAATTTAGAGACAATGCAAGTACATTTTAGCAAAGTATAATACATTTGTGCATTCTCATAAAGGACAAGTTAATTGGTCTTTCTGTAGGAGTAAATATTACTGGGTTTTCCCCTATTGTTGTCAGCATAGCAGGGATCTGGCAAGTAGATCTGGATCCTGCTCTAGTAACTTTAAGGCAAGGCAACATAAAGTGATGCTGCCACTTAGTGGTGAGATAGGATTATGTTGAAGATGACCTGGTCAAATCAAATCCGCAATTTAGTATTCTGTGTGACGTTTGTGTGCCTTGTTTCACTGGCAGCTGCCTGTAAGTTAATACATCACTGCCTTAAAGAAAGCAGGACATGTGTATGGGATATGGAGCCTCTATGGAAATATGGGGAGGGTGAGTCAGAGAGTTGAAGGATTACCATGGACTGGCAGTCTTTCTGGGTAAGAGGGAGGGACTCAGATAACAGCAAACTGAGCAGATTGGAGAGTATAAGGTTGGTGAGAACAGAGAGGGAGTAGTGTTAGGAATACAGAGAAAATCAGTGGATGGAAAAAAAAGAGATTGTGAGAGTCCCCTGGGGAAGAGTTCATTACTGAGTCTTGAGTTCATTACTGAGTTCATTACACGCCTCATAAAAACCTAAAATACAGACAGTTGCTCGTGGACAGGAACAAGAGTTGGTGAGATAGTTGGGTCCATTCAGAATGTCTCAGAACCTTGCAGAATCAGGCACATTGTGCAGGATTGTCTTAATCTCTCTTCCGAAAAGGAATTGAATAGGGTACTGATCACTTGTGGTGCAATTCATACTGATGGCTTCAGAGAGAATCACCTCTGTTACTTCAAGGACTGGTTCCTCTCTTTTTTTCGAATTAAACATGGAGCAAATTCTTAGTGGCTCTGTGTGATCAGAAAACTAGTATGGGCAAGAAAAAATACCCACTGTAGATGTGGTGGGAAAACAGAAGCATGCACTGTACTATTGCAGTGACTCATTCAGTAAGCATACTACTTACTCTTTTCACAGTGGGTACTTTGACTCATCACGTTAAGTTGAAAGGAGTTTAGTTTGTAAAATTATGTGTAGGAAGCAGGTTCCTAGGTTATAGACTGACACTGTTATCATTTTTATGGAAAAGATGGAGTAAACGGTATCCTTTAAATATTTAGTTCTTTCTGCTCCTGGTTCAACATCTAATCAGTCACAAACAGCTTGAAATGGACTAATAATAGCTGAGGAACTTTAGCAGTTCATGAGCCTTCCTCTCCCCAGTAGAGGTCCTCTGTTCAAGCCTTGGGAATAATGCAGCGTTGTTTGTGAAGGTCAAAGTTCCTATTCAGTTCATGGAGGGTTTTCTTGGTACTAGATAATTAAGGGATTTATCCAAGCCTTGCACTGTGCCTTGTATTGCCAGTTGAAGAAAGAAAGGTCTCTTTGTGATTATTACTAGGCTGATAAAACTAGTTATTAAGGAACTCTGATACTCTAGCCTGTAAACTGTATAAGAAGGGATAGCAGAAAGAGCTGTAATTGCTAGGATGCTCAGTGCAGCATGACAGCAATAATTAATGTGGGCTGCCATTAAATGAAATATCAAAGGAGGGTGAATTTGAGTTTGACTACATCCTCAGTGTATTGCATGTGAATCTAAAAACAATGTTATGTAATGCATGTGCCGGTTTGCACCAGTACAAAGAATTGTGATAAATAAGAAATGAGGGGCACTCTGTATTTGAATCAGGTCGCTTCTTTGTTCTTAACCCTTCCTAGTGGCAAGGCTGTATATATTATTACTGTATGTAGCAAGTTACTGGGCAAAAGTCAGTGGATAACCTTGAAAGACTGAGAATTGGGCCTCTGGGGGTTTGTTTTTGTTTTGTTTTGTTTTTTTCGTGGAAACATTTCACTGTCTGTTGCTACAATATTGAAGTTAAACTTCTCTGGACCACTGTCATTACTTTGATATGTACAAAAATAAACTGGGACTTTCTGTCATATTTTTTTATGCATTGCATACTTCCTGGAATCTGAGACACTAGTTTGCCACATAATTGGCTGATAGACTATTGGCTGATTAACCATATTTTCCAAACAAGCTTCCTTTCTGAAAGTTAATTCCTTCAAGCAAAATATACATGCAGTGCAAACCATTTTTTCCATTCTAACTTGCAGAACAATGGCCACAGAAGAGCAGCACTGGCCAGTTCCAATGAAGGCCATTGGAGCACAGAACCTACTGACAATGCCTGGAGGGGTTACTAAGTCAGGATACCTGCACAAAAAAGGAGGCACCCAGCTGCAGATCCTAAAATGTAAGTTGTGGAGGATATTAACTGGACTTCATTTAGTTGCTTTAAATACTTGGTTTGTGGACAGTGATGCATTATAGGCAGGCAGTTAGTGTTACTGTATGTTTATAATGTTCCCCTTTCACACATTTTGTTTGTATTGGACTTAATTTTACTGCAATATCCTGGAGAATTAATTAACCCTTCCTAAAGATGATGCTTTCTTGTACTGGAAGATTAAAAATTTTAGATGGGGGGGTGACGTGCAAAATGCACATGTGTGTTTCTTCCCTCTAGTTTGTTGGATTTGGATTTTAATGCTTCCAAAAAAAGATAGAACAAAATATATTTTTTCCAGTGTACTTGACATACCTCATTTATTTCAAACTTTTTGGTTTCTTATTTTCAAAAAAGTTCCAGTCAACTTCTACCAACTGGAATGTATTAAACTATCCCTCCCACACACCCACCGCCATAAAATTTAGAGTAAACATTTTTCATATCTGTAATAGCTCCTTGAATCCACATATTTTTAAAGTAAGAAGTTCAAGGCTGTGAGTTTTCTTTATTTTGTATAATTCCTAGAAACATACAGTTCATTATAAATTATATATAGAAAGAAAATGTTGTTTTTGATATAGGAGAGAAGAACACTGGAATCCGATTTTTTTTTAAACTACTTGGTTTTATTGCAAGCTTCTCTCTATATATAAAGCAAAGGAAGGCTCAGTTCTGGTTTTGGCGTAAGCGTGAATGTATTTTGATTTTAGTTTCTAAAAGTGTGGCTTTTTTCAGAGATTGGGTATTGTTGGCCTTTGGTTATGTTCCTTGGATGTGGTTTGGGCTGCAGTCTCATGTTAGTGCTTTCCTTCACTAAACAGTAGGTATAGCTTAGCCTTGCATCCTTTGAAGATCCTTTTCTTCACCACCTCAGAGCAGCTATCTCACAGATGAAGAGAACTGACATCATGTTGTATTCTGATAGGCTTCTGAGTTGACTGCAGTATCATGTGACTTGTCATCAGCCAGATGTCATTCAGCTAATTAATTTTTTTATAATGATCTATTAAACTAGCCAGAACTGTGTAATTTAAGAAAAATTGTTTGAAAGTTCTTAGTAATTCATTCACTTTTGGTTTATTTTTTCCCCTCTCACCTTCCTTTTTCAAGGGCCACTGAGATTTGTGATTATCCATGAGGGATGTATTTACTATTTTAAAACTAGCACATCTGCATCTCCACAGGGTGCTTTCTCTTTAAATGGCTATAACAGGTGAGTGGTTCATATATTTATTTTATACACAAACTAGGGATGTAAGAATTTAACCAGGGCTGCCTGTGAATTAAAAATACCGGCATGTAACTGATTAAACTGTAATTTGTTACATGGTTAGTATTTTTTAACTCGTTTTACATCCCTAACACAGACACCATTTCATGATGAAAGCATGGATTTACTTGAGCTTAAGGAACACTGACTCAGGAAAAAACAACTTTTTCTGGTTATGCAGATTTTGTTAATTAAACTTTACTTAAGGAACATTTAATTCACCCACAGTAACATTTCTCTAAGAACTATTGCATTCACTCCATACAAAGCAGATAGTGATAGGATAATTGGGAAAGGGATTTTGGGGTTGCATTTTGAAGCTGCAAATTTTTAGCATGATTTTATCTGCATAAATTGTTTTGTCAGCATAAATGCCCTTAGAAACATAGGCTGTGCCCAAAGGCACATGTTCTTATAAATGCATATTCACTACAGAAGTTTACAGTATTAGCACTGGTCTCTGTGTTTAATTCACGGTAGAAAACCTACATTAATTCGATAAGATAGGCAGCTTTCTCATGTTAGCTGTTGGTGCTACACCACATTGCAATGTGAGATCTTGGCTCCAATAGGTATGTTTTTCCTTACTAGAAGATCCTATTCCTTTTACCATTTCCTCAGAGAAGTTATCAGAAGTCTAACAAATAGGATCAACTTGCATTCTGTTTACCACTGCCATATTTTGATGTACACACTAATACAGGTGACCTTTTTGTTTTTGGCAGATGTTATCACAGTCCACATGTTTTCTAATTACCTTATCAGAAAATAATAGAAATACTTTTGGAGTTAACTGTCTGGCACTGCTGAAATCAATATTCTCTCTTTATAGAGGGGCATGCTATGAAGGAGGGACTACAAACCCACCCAGATATGGTTATAAACAAGAGAATATGCAGGCAAAAATCTGCATATAACTATGAATGTGTTATATAAATGAACTATTTGCTTTTAAGATCAGTGATAACAAATCTGACACATTCTTTTAAGCTGTACTGTACTGTCACATTTTGATATGTCTGTACAGAGTATATATGAGTCATCTTAATAAATCAAAACTGATCTAGCAAAACAACACTGTAATTACTGCCAATACGGCCAAACTGCATACAGAATCTAGAGGATATTGCCCTGTTAGTTTCAAACACTGGAATCAAAGTATGCTCTCAATTATTTTGAGCAAATTCTATGGCTTGTGTTCTACAGGTCAGACTGAATCATCACAATGCTTCCCTCTGGCCTTGAAATCTACAAATCTATGATTTTTTTTCTTTTTGTACTGATTCTTAATACTAATGCCACATAAGCATTCTCATACTTATTTGTGGGGGGTTTTCTGCCTTAGAGTAGTAGTAATGTGTGACAGTTCTTCAACAACCAACAACTCTCAAGGGAAAATAGCAGAAAAACCTTACCCAATTAAAACTGCACAGAGAATTTTATAGAACCAGAATAAAGTTCCCTGAGTTGAAATTTGGTCACAATAGTGGTGTTGAAACCATTGAAATATGGTGAAATATAGCATGGGAACTGTGACTGATAAGGGTGATGTGGTGGTATAATATATAAATGTATTGATTTATATGTTTATTATACCACCACCCAAAAGCCTCAGAAATTAAGGCCATGGTGTGCTTGGTGTACAAACCTAGACATAAACACTGTCCCTGCCACAAGTATTAAATAGAAAGCTTACATGTAAGAAAATATATGCAACTCTTATTTATATTAATGGGAGTTGCACGTGCTTGTCAGAAAAGAGGGTCTGGATCTTCGAGTGGACCTTGATTTCGCATCGTGTGTTTAGCAATCCTGCATCTAAAAGTACAGAAGAGCAATGGGTTCGAGTGACTCAGATGGAAAAGTGATGTTTCTTGAATCACCAACAGCAGTTTTAAAGCAGTGTATTTCTTACACTGACTTCCTTTTGTCTTTAATTAGTAAAAGAACATGTTCCTATTGCTTTGTTAACCATTGCTGTGCAGACTTTGTGTCAGCAAACTACAGCCTAGAATTTAAAATTAGATGGGAAATCTAGAAAGATGTATGGCCAGATATTCCAAAGTGTTTAGCAGTCCTCCGTGGCAGCTGATGCAAGTTGTCCAGAGTTTAAAAAGTATATTCCATTTTGCTGCCTAAATGAGAGCAGAGTGCTCCTGAAAATTTGTCCCTAGAGTTCAAAATCCAACTAGTTCAAAGTCTCCTAATGAGTTTAGTGGCTCTAGGAAAGGCTGTTCTTTAGAATGAAAATAGAATTGAAAAAAAGTGGGGGAACAAAAAACATTTGCTAATGAGAGCTTCGTACTAATAGCTACAAGCAGTCCCTGGGTTACGTACAAGATAGGGACTGTAGGTTTGTTCTTAAGTTGAATTTGTATGTAAGTCGGAACTGGTACATATTTTGGGGGGGGATGGGGAGTTGGAGTTAGGTGGAAAAGACCCTGATTCTCATACAACTTCCTTATTCTAAGAAAAACACATACTGTTTTGATATGAAGAGTTTTTTGGTTGATATTTTAATTAAAAATTGATCATAAGTTTCAGTGTTTCATGCTATATCCAAATCTTCCTTTTGGGGTACCTGAAAGATCCCAGTTATTCATTTAATAGTCAGAATCTTTGTTTTTTATAACTAAAAAAAGTTTATTCAATGCATATTACTGTTCCAAATAGAATTTGCTACACATGGTTCAGTGAAATGGGTATTAAGTGTAATCAATAGTCATTGGAGAGCACAGTGAAATATTGATACAATCAAAGCTGTTGTTGTATTCTGCTGAGCAGAAAATGGAAATCCCTTCCTGTGAAGTGTGTGTGAGAGAATTTATCCACAGGATTAATTTTAAAGAAAAATTCTGTGTTGGGAACAGGAGTTTAGCCACAGGTGGGTCCTCATTGTCCACTCACCCACTTTGCAACCAGACCCATCCCCTCGGGGCTTACCCTGCTCCGCTTCAGCCAGGGTGTGGGGTTGGGGCTTATCCCCTCTTCCCTTCTGTCCTGCTCCCCATTCTTGCCCACCCACACCACTGGGTAATTTTTCAGCTTCACCTCTGCCAGGCTGGAAGGGACTTGTTAATTTCACGTGACGCTAACAAGATACTTGCAGCTCTAGTGCTGAAGAGGGCAAGAGCTGGACTGTAACACAATGGGTCTCACTGCCTGCTGCTCCTGCTGTTCCCTAGGAAATTAATTTTTCCATTCTGGGGTGCCCTCTTTTGGCTGGTGTCTTGTTCCCCCCAGCAGACCTG